TATCTCTATCTGCCAACCCATTTTTAAGCTTATCTCTAAGTCTTAACCTTTCTCATTTTATCTTTAAGATTTTATTTAAAACTTGATATAATCCAAAAAGTAAACACCTGCCTAATATAATCAACAGCAACAACAGTTAATTGACAGGTTCCAAATTGCATTATTGTACCTGCCATCTGATAATATATATGTTTATTTTGCATAATTATCCAGCTACCTGATAAGCAATTAAAGAAACAATAAACCGAATCTTTTCAGATGTGGCCTGATTGAAATTTATTTTTAGTTCACTTAAAAAACCAAAGTGTGTACTTAAGAAATGTGCTTGCTTTTATAAACAAATATTTATTCGTGTTTATTTTGTATACACAACACAAGAGGATGGTTTAAAGGAGGAGATCAATATTAAATTGATGTCTAAGATTTTTGTTTTTTATTTTTAAATAATTATAAAACATTTCCCTAGCAAAAAACGACCCCCACTAAACAATTCCGCCTTTCTTCGCGATCTCAGATAGCTGTAAAAAACGAGTGAACATTATTTCCCCATCCCCGCTAATGTTGATTAATAGTTCCGGTTTATGGGACATTAAAATAAAAGTGAGAGAGAGAGAGAGGAGAGAAAAAATCAACCTCAAAAATATGCTCAAACATTGCATTCAATGTTAAATGCGTGCATTGCACTGCCAGATACAAATGTATCTCTAGATGGGCCTGTATGTATCTCGCAGTCCGTGTGCCTCTAGATACAACTAGAAATGCATAGACTAGTTTGCAATTTACATGGCCGCCATATGAGTCAGTCGGTAGTGGGACTCCTGTGATTTCTCAGACAGAATCTCTGAGTTTTCTGTATCTAGAGAAATTTGTTGCGGATCCAACGAATGCGCACTTTAAATTTTTGGCAACAATTTTGATTCAATTAACCTTCCATTTAGCGGAGAGGTCAGTCTTCAATCTTGACTAAAATCGGATGGCTATTCATCATTTATGTATGGTTTTTTATTAACTATTTATTAATAAATATTATTCGAAGTCTGTAGTTTGTCTAGGTTCTTGGCAGGGTCATTGCACTCATTGTAGAACTTTTGTGGAAAAAATATGTTTGCAAACAAAACTTGAAGCAATGCAATTATATTTATTTTTACTAACACTTCTGGGTTTCAATTTATTTTTCTTCGAAGTGAAATATGTGTGTTTTTCTTTGTAAAATTCTGCTAATTAGATACTTTGTACATTAGGTGAACAAAAGAAATTTGAATAGCTGTTAATTACAATAATAATTATATAACTAACATTTATTATTTATAATTATTAAAAGTTGTAACAAAGACTGTAATATAATTCTACAATTTTTATGTTTAAATTGTGGACTTTAACTTATCATTTAAGTTACAGATTTCTTGGAAACTTTTGTATGCAACTCCCTAGCTAAAAGATCATTAAAAATATTTGTTAACTTGTTAAAATTAACGAGTCGCATAGGTCTCAACTGGGTCACCTTTTGGCTTATCAATACCTCAACGTATATAAAAAATAATAAAGAAATAAGTAGGAATGCAAGGTTAGCTGGACAATGGCGATTGTTTAAATACCCTGACAAAAGAACTGAGATCGAAATATATTCTGAAATATCCGGAAAATAACCTGAACTCGATCCTTGACTTATTTATAAATATTTCTAATATAATGCAAAAAATATGCTTATTTTAGAGTAATTACAAAGTCGTAGTGCATCAGCTTATTTTTTTGCAATTTCATAGTGTATTTCGCACTGATAATCATTAATATACCTATATTTGTGTTTAAATATAAATTACAACAGACTTACTGCGAACACGATTATAAAATAGGAACAACAAAAACAATGCAAAAACGAACATCATCAAAATAATCAACAGGAAAATGCCTCTGAAAATTTTCCACCCAAACCGGCCTTTTTTTATATGCGCAAAAATAAAGTTCAGAGAAGTTCAATGGGTTTATCTGCTGCCCCTCCTTTTTTTTACAAATTATAATTGTAAATAATATTAATGGTAAATCATTTCTTTAAAGTTAATCCTTAAGGAAACACGTTCTTTAACATGTGATTTGAGACAGATAAAACAATGGTCTGATCGTCAGATATAATTTATGGCTTTTACTGGGTAGGACACAGTTTTTTATGGAATTTACAAAAACTACAATAAAACGTGGAGCTAATATTTCCTGTGATAGTAATTTCGCCAGTCTTATCTGGATTAGTTAACACCAACTAATCAAGTTGTAAATAAATAAATTAAAATAAACCAAAAATAAACTCTTCACCAAGTTGATTTGCTTTTATTCTCACTGTTTTGCAAATGTTTTTTTCACCGCCAACGCAAATTTTTAGGAAAATAAGACACCTGGCTACACAGTAAAAAAAGCAAGTGTTTTATTTTTGAACCACTTAAATTCAATATGTAGTTTTGGTACAATACTTTTTAGGAATATAAAGTTATAGAGAAAAAGGGTTTTCCTGTAATTGAAATAGTAGCATTACATCATTTGTTTAGAACCTTTTTAATGGCTTTTAATATTAATATTTAAAATAAAAAAAATGCACACATTTTATTATAACTCAAAATTGTCTAATTATTTTAATTTAATGACCAGTTTTACTAAAGTAATTTTGATGAGTATAAACCTATAAATAAAATCGCTTGTTCAGGTGAATGAAATAATAGAATTGCATTGTTTTAGAACCTTTAAAACTGCTTTAAAATTTGTTTTAAACTTTATTGTTCTTTTATTTTTTATTCTTATATATTTATCTTTATTCTTTACCAATTTTTCTTGCCCATTAGCGACATTTCTTATCTGGGCGTTGATTAGGAGCCAGTTTGCTTTGTGGCGCTATGGAATGGAGATTAAATTGTTGTTGCCAGCCAGTCGTGCGACTAACTAAAATAGCCCAGTTTCTTCTCCTCCTCCTCCTCCTTCTCAATGTTAAGTTCAATGACTAAATTTTAATTTTCGTTCTCGCCTTTTTGTTTTATTTTTATGATTTTTGTTGGTTTTTCCTCGAGAAGCTCTGGACAAGGTTTAATCAGCCCGGGGACCCAAGTCTCTTATCAGCTCTATATACTGGGATGGCCTAGTTTCTTCATCAATTTTGTGGAAGATGGTGCAAAGGGGAGGTGTAGAGGTGCGAGCTCCAGGGGAAGGTCAATTAATAAATTAATTTAACATGAATAATGCATTTAAAACTGAGACACATAAGTGGGGAAAGTCCGGCTTGGGTTTGGCAGTATTTTATTTACTGCGATTGAAATTTATTTTTGGCTTTAATTATATATTTTTTTATTAATATAACTCTTAAAATAAGAAAGAGATTTTATATTATTTATTTAGGATTGGTAAACTTTGCTTTGTTTATAAACTTCTTAACAATACCGAAATATTGCACCTATTTTTTTGATTCTACATTTCTTCATAATTAATTTCTGCTTTACGATTTTTCTTAACCTTGAGTATTATGTTTTTATTACTTAGAATTTTATTTATAAATATTTTCTATATTTTTTTCGTTTTATTGTTCATTTCTGGCGCTGATAAAAACAATCCTGGCTTCTCGGTGGTCTAATATTCCCAACATTAAATATTTATTTTGCCGTAAATGAGAATTTAAATTCAAATTGTTTGTTGGTGATAAGAGCTTTAAAATACTTGTTCTGGCAATCCCAATGCGACTTGGATTGTACATGAAATCGAGGTATGTAACACCTGAAGCACCTAATTAGGGACTGATCGATCGATCGACTGATCAGACCTAGTTCCGCTTCATGGAGGTCAACGGATCAGCAATAGATGGCTTTAAATAAACATTCAAGAGTATTTTTAGAGGGAACTTTGCCATCCGGATTTTGTTATTGAACCGATTCTAATCCCAAACCCGCCCACCTAATCAAAACTGATAATCGTAACAGCACACAGCCCCAGTAAAAATAAAAACCCCAAGATGGGTCGAATCCAGTCCCTAATCTGGACCCAAGTCTGGATTTGGCGCCGCTGTCAAACCGGCTACCGAGAATCGCTCACGTTGCACGGATCCCCGGTCCACTATCAGTCAATAATGATTTCGAATTTAGATTTGTGGCCAGGCTGCAGCGATTAGTTAACATTTGTTTTCAGCGTGTCCACCAGACAGATGAGATAATTAATACCGCATGCATACAGACCCACATACACACCCTCCCATCATCGCCCGCCCACTTTTCACCGCCTGGTTCTGTTGTATTTATAGACAAGGTCTATGGGTCTACGATTCCAGCCTCGAATGTTGCTGTAAAAACCTAGACTAGATCAGCGGATTAACTATATATAAGATAGCTGGCTTCTAAGGGCCACAAAGGGGTGTGTTCTTCTCGTAAAAACATAAAATATTAGCTTTTCTAGAATAATTATAGGATATATTCTTTAAATTACCGAAGCTTATTAAGTTGATAACTTATGGTAATATACGGTAACGTATTTTAATACTTTAACATTATTTCTTTGATCATTTAATGTGTAAAATATTTATTAAATAAATTTATTTTATCCAATCTTGATTGAACCTTTTTGTTTTTTTCCTTACAAATACCTTTTCTGTAGTTTTAGAACATAACACAGACTCGCACAATACAACAGAACTTATTCAAAACTGAATTACTTTGGCGCCAAGCACTGCTTGGCTACAGTGCTGTTATCTTTAGCTGGTGCTGTTAAGCGCAAGCCCCAAAGACCAATCAAATCAAATTTTAAATACTACAAGTCATAAGTTCTTGCGCTAATTAAATGGTATTTAAATATTTTATAACAAAAGCTGAAAAGTTTCAATTTAATAAAATTCATTGAAGTTTGAATTAGTTTCGGAAACAATTATTACTTAGCGCACATATTAAGGTGTGACCAGATGCTGCGAGCGAGAAAATCGCTCATTTTCTGCCGGTAAATAATTTCCTGTATTAGTTGTAAACTAATTGTTGGCCACACTGTTCAAAATAATAAAGTGAAAAGTTCGCAAATTGTGAAAAACAAAAGCAATTAAACGCAATTAGACTAGACTAGACCCCGGCAATTAGAGTAGCAACAAGATGGTAAGTGAAGCTTTGCAATCTTCGAGTTTATTTAGACACTGAAACTGATTAAAAGAGAGGACTTTCAACATTGTTTGACTGTTCATACATTTTTGGCGGAAACCCAGAAAAAGCCGGGAAGACCTCGGTGGGCACGGCGAAACGCAGCTTAGTAGTCGGGCAGGAGCGGGGGCTCCGGCGACCGCTTGCCGCCCCAGGAATGGAACCTCTGCTTCTTGCCCAGCACCACCGAGTTGCGTTTCTCGTCCCGCTGCAGTTGCGATTTGATGCGACATCTCTCAATAACCGCATCCCGTACGATCGTGGCGAAGTCCGCATCGCTGAACTGGGCCATTAGCAGGCGGAAGAAGGCCCAGATCTCGCCGCGCTGCGATGTGGGTGGCGGTGCGTAGTGGCGGAATAGCCAGCCAGCCTCGTCTGCCGAATCCTGACCGCCGCCGCCTGGTCGCGAATTATAGGCATCGCACACGTCCTCGAAGCTAAGGATTGCCTGCAGGATGAAGCGACGATACTTGGATAACTGCAGCTCGCAGGTGCCCAGCTCGGAATCAAGACCGGCTACGACCCCGGATGCTGGCAAACCGCTGCTGGCTCCATCGGCGCCGATGGCCAGGAACAGAAACAGGATCCACAGGGGCCACGTTTGCATGGTGGAGCACACTTCTAATTTGCTAACTGCCGGGCCGACTGTGACTGTGGCGACGACTCCTCCTAATCCTGACGGGCAACTGCGATGGCTACCGTTGCGTTGCTTCGCTTATATAGCGAACCGATCCGCCACCCACAACTTTGAAGTCCATAAAATAATTATAAAACGTTTGTCGTTCGCATTTTCTAAGCCGTTACACACGTCGCTAAATAAATACGAGTGCGTATTAATAAGCGTGGCAGCGTTCCGTCTCCGTCTCCGTGTCCGTATCCTTGCCACTTATATTTCCCGCCAGACAATGAACGGCAACAAGTGTCATAAATTTTCACTCGCTTAACTCGCTCGCTAGCGCCGTCTCTTCCCTTCCGCCAAAGTTGCGTTTATTAATCCTGGCCAGAGATAAACGTGACATGCACTTGAAACTGAGACGAAGCTCCCCAAACGCGGCCTTCCCTTATATCCTGGAAAATGTAAAGCGCCCACACCCACCCTTTTTGTGCTCGCCGCCACTTGAGCAAATTGCTCGCTGATTAGCAGGCAAGCGTATGAAATTAATCATATGCAAATATCGTTGTCGCCTTTTTTTCCTTTTCCTCGACGCTGTAGTGGGAGTTCTTGGGCATCCATTCTTGGTAACCCATCACAATCCCTAAGGATGTCATTAGTTTTGCTAGCAAAGTCCAAGGCGGCTTATCAGTGGAGCCAAATTATGTTGCCTTTCAAATAGGGTCAGCAATGCGTGGACAAAGGGTTAAGTTCAAGAAAATAGTTGAGGCAAACTTATAAAGTCATGTAATAGTATGTAGATAAGCTTAAAATCTAAAGAATATGGTTTAAATACAGAATTCCTAGTTGAATAGAAAAAGTAAGATATATATCTATAAATATTTCACTCTCAATATAAAATTCAGTATATCTTAAACTTCGATGTGACATATCTTCTTCCTTCTTAATTTTGAGGTACATTTTTCCAGGGTATTCTCATCTCTTATCCTGTTTTTCCTTTCAATTCCTAAGAGGTCTTCATTTGGCTCGAGAGCTCACTTGTTGAAGGCACTCTGGTCTTTAATTTACTCAGAAACGTGATGGGCTAACTTTGGTGTAGGCGTGTGTTTTTGTTTGCTTTTGAAATGTGAATGCGTGAAAGAGGTGCCTTGGCTACATTAAATTATTTCCCTATTCCAAATAAAACTTTTCTCGCTCTCTTACAGAAATTTCGATTTTGCGGGGAAGGCGATTGCCCTGACTGGGTTCTGGCTGAGATTATATCCACACTCTCCAATCTGCCCATTGAAAACTTGGAGCAACTCAGCGACCTAGTGGCCCAGCGAATATGTGGACAATCATTTGAGGTAATTATGTGTACGCATTTCATAAAAATTTGAATAATAAAGCAACTATATTTTACAGGAATCCAAAATTAAAGCCTTGACATCCACGCTCACGAATGAGGGTAAAACCGCCGTGGCCTGCATTCATTTTATGCTAATCAATGCAGCTCGGTATAGTTGTACAGAGAGTATTTTTGGTGAGGAGATCCAACAGCTGGGATTGCCCAAGGATCATGCCGCTGCCATGTGTCGAGTATTGCAGAAGCATACGGCCGCCATACGCCAGACATTGATAGATAAAGCTTTTAAAAGTGGGTGATTTCTTGTATTTAATTTGTTAAATTCATTTGACAATTAATTACAATTTGTTATCATTTCAATTTTAGTTAACGAACTGCAGAGCGTTCGCGATATAAGCTCGCCCGGCGAAACGCCACCAAATTGTACCACCTTGGAACTTAAAATCTCGCAAGAATTAGTTGATGGCCTGCCAAGGGACACAACTCATATCCTTAATATAGATCGCACGCAAATGAAAGCTCTGCTGGCAGAGTTAAAACTCGCGCGTGGTGTTATGGAGAAATATCAAAATAATCAAGATTCCTAGAAATGTGCAATTTATGAATAAATTCAACGTGGTATGTGAGTGATTTTTTCTATTACATAATTTTAAAATAATTTTAAAATTAAAGTTAGAAAAAAATTCAATTGCTGCCACTGATTTAAAACAATTTAAGAGTTTTTGACAAACATCTTAATCAGCCTTTTGAAACAAATATAGCTAAGAAGCTATACATTTTCGTTAAAACTAAATCTTAAAAATTTTAAAACCTTTTTTTGGGCTTTTATATTTTTTCTGCCCTTTGTTTAATATTTTAAATTGTTTTAACTTTGTATTTAAGCTGTGATATTAAGCTTTTACACGAAAAGCTACGAGTTGCAATCCTAGAAATGGAAAACTTGTAAAGAGCTTGATTATCCTTAAAGCTTATTCCTTGAATTTGAGCCATAGATGGCGACATGTAAAAAGGATTTAAAACTTTGAAGGCAAAAGTGTAAGCCATTTTATTAACATAGATCCTTGGGATCTAATAATGTAAGAAATTTATCATATTGTTGCTTAAAAATAAACACCAATATTTTCTGTTCTTGCAAAAGCAGAAAATAAACTAAAAAACTCGTATTTGTTTAAATTACTAGCATTTTTTGAATCTATTAAATATGTTTAAATAGCTTTAAGATTTAATAGAATTAAGTGAAAATCTAGAAAAAGGGTAGAGTTGTCCAAATATTCATAAAAGTGTCCAGAGATTTCAAGATTTATTTCCTTTACATTGAAAAAATAATTTAAATGTTTCTAATATATAATATCCTTGAAGGTTATTAAAATTTTAGTCAGAATTTACAATGCAATGAAGGAGACATTTCCAATCCCATAAAATATACAGTCGAGTCCCGATAATTCGAAATGGCAAGGGGATCACTTTTTTACGAATTAGACGGGAATTCGATTTATCGAGATTTCTATTTAAAGGGGCTCAAAAATGAAAGAGTCGAATAAACGGGGTTTTTACATTTCACATCATGTTTACATATGTATTTAGCTTTATTAAAATTAAACAAACATAATAAATATGTATATTCGTTTGTACGTTTTTCAAATGAAAGGAAAATTAAACAAAAAATTAACAAACAAAATTAAGCAGAAACATTAAATTATTAAAAATGAAAATTCAAGATTTAAAATAATTGATAATTTTTTATTGCTTCGTGTTTTTTCTTATATTTTTTCCATTGCGTTTTCTAAACCTATTAGGTTGTCAAACACACTATTTGGCACATCATGAGTCGAAAAATAATGTTTAAGTTGAGGAATTAATGCTCTGGTTTGTAAATTCTATAAAATTTCTTCTCCGTTCTGATGCCTGCAAAATCTAACGTCGCTTTAACTACAAAATATTTCGCATCGCATTACGATTTATAAGAGGTTTCGAAAAAAATTACAATTTATAAGAGGTTCAATATTCTTTGCGTTGCGCCAAATACTACGAATTAACGAGGGGACCAAAATGTATGGAATTTTTACGAATTAACGAGTTTTTTTCAAGGGGACAGAATTTTTTACGAATTATCGCGATTTTCGATTTAGCGGGGTACGAATTATCGGGATTCGACTGTATATTCTTTGTTACTATCGACAGCTAAGTCGATCTAGCTTTGTTCGTCTGTCCCTCTGTCCTTCTGTCCTTCTGTCCGTCCGTCTGTCTGTCCGTGTGTCCGTCCGTCCATCTGTTCGTCTGTCTGTCCGTCTGCCTGTCCGTCCGCCTGTCTGTCCGTCTGTCTGTCCGTCCGTCTGTCCGTTTCTAGGCAAACAAATAGGTTTTGAAGCTTTCTGAATGAAATTTATCTGTTACTTTTAAGTTGTTTTAATGATTATGAAAATTATTTTATATATTTTACTTTATATTTTGACTTAGTATTACAAAATTAAATCTCTGCCACACCTTTTCTCTCAACCCCCAAAGAAAATTACCCCATAAATTTCATCAAAAGTCAACCACAAAACGTAACCCTTTTCAAGCGATATTTAACCCAAAACCATTGAGAACTCCACTCATATCGCTCCATGAACTGTGTCAAATTTAATCAACTTCCTCATCGTCCCCCTTTTGCAGTTTTTTTTTTTTACTACCCATGCAGCCTGATTATTAATTATAGCATAACGTGCGGCGTAAATAAAGTGAAATTTGTTAATAAAAGACCCCAGAAAAGTAACCCTTTTCCGGTGTCCATACACCTTGCTCTTGCTCCTCTTCCGCTTTTCACATTTGCTTATCGTGTCCGCTTTTGGCCACGGCAATTACCGTCGCATCCTTTGGCCATTTCCCTGCTGCCTTTTCCGGTTATTAAAATTATCTGCAATGCCTGCAGGATGGAGGTAGAAAAATACAACAACAAAATTCAATTAAAAGTATACAAAAAAAAAGTAGGAATAAATTAATTTCACTCTCTTGCTCTGTTGCTCTTTCGGTGGATTTTCTAATTATGAGCTTTGGCCGGCTGCAGCAGCTGCGGAGGTTAAAAGTCGCCTTATTTTTATAGCAAATTCTGTTGTTTTTTTATATTTGTATATTTTTTTCAATTAAACTTGACCATGTCAAAAGTCAAAGTCAAAAAAGACGAAGAAAAGTCCGCGACATTTTTTGATAGCTGCGCTTTCTCTGGTTCTTTCTCTCTTTCTCTTGTAATTTTCTTTATTTTTAATTTTATTTTTCTGGATTTTTTCCTGCTCTTGGCCACATGTTGCTGACACTTGCAGCAGTCGCTTGGCTCCTACACTTTTCCCCTGCTCCTCGGCCTTTCGGAACTTTGATTTATGACACTCGCTCGAGAGAGAAATTCACAGCAACGCCCCTTTTGGCATTGTCACCTGCTTTCCTTAATTAAATTTCTCCTCAAGGTCTCAATGAACTGCGCTGCATTGATTTCTGTATCCCCCCTACCATCCGTGCAAATATCATATCGGAGAAGGTAAATAAGTGCTCCACGTAGCTCTGTTCCAATTACCCCGGCAACTATTTACTCAGCATTTAGTTGGCGGTGTCCTGGCCCCGTTTTCCCTCCCTCCATTACCACCTATTCCCCCTCTTCGGTTACGCAAAATGATATCTAAACATTTGGCGCAAAATTCGTGTAAACAAGGCGGCAATGTCAACAAAAATGGTTCACATCATATGGACAGGCAGAGGTGAGAGGTAATTGGGGTTTTTCGGTTGGGGAAACTTGTCAGTCAAAAAGAGAGTGGGGAAATGCTCACAGGATGGGGCGGAAATAAGAGTTTTAGAACAAAGCAGGGAAAGTTTAGGGAATATGGAGTATTTATACCAAACTAATTGTTTTTAGTGTAGTATTAATCTGGGTTACAAAATAATTAATTCAAATTTATTTAAAATATTTTGAATCAATACTTTTCGATATTTCTATATACGATTTTGTCTATAAATCAAATTTTTAAAACCCCATAACTAAGGCAAAAATGCATTAATTTCGATTCGGAAAGCTGTCCTGTATTAGTTTTTTTTTTGGGTTAATAAAGTGGTTTACTCAATTTGATATTTTAAATTTTTTCAAATTTTTCCAAAATTTTAATGATGCAACCCCTTAAAAAATTTGGAAAAAAATTCCAATTTTTTTGTTTCCTTCGGAGTTGTCTAGATCGATTCGGGTTTTGATGCTGATCAAGAATATATATGGTTCATAGGGTCAGAAATGTTTTCTTCACTGAGTTAAAAGCTTCTGACTAAAATTTAAATACCCTGCAGGGGTATAAATATCAGAATTAAGTAATAAGAAATTAATAACCTAAAGTCTTCAATCAAATGTATTGACAGTTTGGATAATCAAAATTCAGAGCGACCCTCGCCTAGTATCCTTTGGCAACCTGGGGACACCGCAAATCCACAGCCGTCTGGCAACGCCCAAACATGTGTACCACCGTTATGTCAGCAACACCCATCTCCATATCCATATCCATATCCGTTCCCATTCCCATTTCCATTCCATTTCCACATCCTCCTCCGTGGTCCATGGGTGGAAATGCTGTCACATTACGCGCCTGTTACCATATCTTTACAACTGAATCTGCAGATCGTCCTCCACGCACTTGTATGACAAAGCACAATACTTAAAAACCTTATGCATGTGATTTGAGGGCGATGAGGATATGAGGCTATGGGCTATGAGGCTATGAGGCTATGAGGCTATGAGGAGGTGGTTTCCGTTTACAGGGATCTCTGGGTGGTGGTGGTGGTGGTGTTGTATATACTTTGTTTTTGGGGGAGGGGGCGGAGAAAAGGACACAAGTGTTAGCCTTTTTGTCTACGGGTTTTGGTGGTTGCCTCCGGGAAATCCTTCCTGCCTGCCCCCCTGGCTTCCGTTCCGGTTTTTAGTTCCTCGATGATGCGCTGCTGCTGTCCCAACCCCTGCAATGATCTCTGGAAGTTATGGAGATATAGTGCTTGGGGTGGTGACTACTGAGGATGGGAGCAGAAAACAGCAACTTTTTGACTTTTTCAATTCGACTTTTCCGGCTCTCTATGGGTTACCCTAGGCGTAATAATGAAATAAACGTTCCGCTAAATGTCTACGTATTTTGCACTAGGGGGAAATGTCGATTTACTCAGCGGGGGAGAGAGAAAGGAAGGAAGGAAGGACACTGCAAGTGGATCTCATTCAATTAATTCGATGGGATTTGGCTTTAGAGGATGGAGGATATATTTGGGAAATTAATCAGTTTAAGAGGGGGAACCACAAATGATAGTAAACGGGCTTAAATACTTAACAGGTTTATTATATTTGTATTATATTAAATTGATAACAATACTATCCTTATATCTAACCCAAAGGCATATATATTTTCCAAATTCCTTTCACTTGAAATCAACTTAAATTAAACCCAATGAATGAATGATATCCTTGTTGTACCTCATTTACCATTCAAAACTTTTCAAAAAGATTTCTCAACGCAGCCAATCGAGTATTCATATGAACTGAAGATTTTCCGCTTTCCACACCTCTCCCCCTCACACACCTTAAATGTTTGGTCACACCTGAGGACTTGGCCCAAGTGGTGGTGGTGGTGG